AAATCAAAATTGATATTTTAATTAATTGAGATATTTCAAGATTTTTAATAAATGTATATATAATTACACTAAATTTAAAATGTACTTTAAATACAGATAGAAAATATAAATCCAATGCCCAACTTAATTTCAGTAGGTTCATAACAGGTTAGCCAGTATGCCTAGCAAATAAAATTTTAATTTTTACTAGGACTAATTTACTGGTTAAGTATTCACAAATTTACTTCCATCAGTTGTATTACTTTCTATCCTACAGGATCACATTCTATTTTCAATGTCATTACATAAATAAATTCAATAGTTTTATTTATAATATGCAGTAATATTTGATAATTTTTTWAATGTATATACCTAATACAAACTGTTTAAGGAAACTAATAAATCATTCAATGTGAAATCTTCTCCTCAAGATCATCGTTCAAAATTTAGTGATTATGACAGTTATATGACATAGGTATGGATAAAAASAAAGTGCGACCAACGTTTTCTGCAAAAATACTTTTTATATTCTGATATTGATKCTGACGCATGTGACCATATATCAGTCAATATGTTGAGAACTTTAAAACCATTGAATAGTAATTAAAAATAATATGTTTAAACTTCTATGATGTCTCACAATTATAACAAATATAACTAAATTCAATGTACCTACCTACTAACTTACCTACCACAAAATTAATAGGTAGCAAAAGTATTATTTTTAAGAAAAATTTTTATTTTACTAAATATCATATAGATAATATTAAAGTTCTTTAGAAATAAAATAACAGAAAATGAAAACTTTGAAAGTCAATGATTACAAACCGACTAAGAACAAAATATGAATTATGCTTCATGCAACTATTGAGGTAGTGGTGCCCCGAAGTCCTAAGAATGTAATAGGGCAAAAAATATTTAAAGAGACCCAATATCTCAATATCGGCAAATATGGCATTCTGGGGAGAAGAAAGAGATCAATATGAAGTGACCCTATCCTTAAATGTTCAAACATGTCGAGCCATGGCCTAACCTTAGGCGCCTAAGGTTCGGCGCTACTGTATTGAGAACTAACACGAGTCTTTAGAACATTAATACTTTATCTATRTAAAAACGATTTGAAACAAAAAAATTATAATACATTTTTCAACAATAGGTGTACTGAAACTAAWTGCAAAAAAAAACCAATGAAAATATTTATTTTCTAAATGGTTAATGTGTAGTGTAATAGTAAAATAATATAAATTCTCAATAAAATGTTACCAAAATTTAAAATTATCTAAGTACATGGATATTATTACTCAAACAGAAAAGTTTCATTCGACATAATTAAATATTTGATATTATTCAACCAGTTGATGAATATTTTGTTTTAAATAAAATCTAATAATAACATTACAAATGTATATTAAATGAATCTCATGCTATACCTTTTATATGAAAGTTAAAATTGTCCCATGACAACAAGTGAGTAGGAAGTACTTTTAAATTGAGTCACTGCGTCGATGACGATCACGCACAACAACAACAGCGTTAACTTCAGCGGAAAACAAATCCATTACAATGATATAAGTAGTTCACACAAACACATTTCGTTTCAACACGATTACATTCAACGATAAGTCCAACACTGAACACACGAAGCGACGAAAGTAATGGGAAAAAATTATAAGAAACAAGCAGAAAAAAGGAAGCGAGCTCGATACCGCAAAAAATATTTAAAAAATTGTCACACCTAATAGATCCCAAGGAAAAAATTACCACAACAGATAACGCGAAAAACCCAACTTCATCAAAAAAAAAGGAATAAGTAAAAATAGTAGGGTTATAAAATGATAAAGACTGTTGTTCAAAATATTATTATCTTTATAATTAGATTCTATGTTGTTATCTCTGTTTCGGTGTTTTATCACTTTGAATTTTCGTTTTTTTCAAACAATAATTATTTAYATTTTGCAAATTTACAATAATTACAAATTACAATACCCATTACATATTATTATGGTTTATGTTTTTAATTTAAAAAATAGTTAATGGTTAATACCGGTCTTCGTCGTATTGTTATTGATATAGATGAAAGCCATTCTTTTTTTAACCTCTGCAATCTTAATTTAGTTGTTTAAATTGTATTTCATTTATAAATGTTTATAACTTCCAAGTTCACAACGAATTTTTTTCGTCTGTTTGTTTTTAGTGTACAATATTAATTATTATTGATAATTTTTTTTTAAACAAATGTTGTAGTAACTATATACCATCTTTAATTTTATCACCATGTCCATATTAGCTCTTAACGAAAGGTAATATAAATATTATATATTAAAACATTAATTCATAGGCACAAACAATTTTTGACAATTCAATATTTGTAGAGACTAAAGTTGGGATCTATACTATATATTCCTATGTATTATGTAATGAAGTCATTAATTATTAATAGTTAAGTYCTCAAAGCCTTCTTTATTTGTGCCTATGATTATTAAATCTAAATAATGTACATTAGTACTTATAATATATACTATGTTTGATAGGTAATATATTTTTTATAATCATGTTTATGRAATTCTATACATTTAAGTTGTATAATTTTCRATTATATTTACAGTATTGTGGGCAAAAGCTTTGAATACTGGAAAAATTTATATGACCAAGGAATTATTGATCGCCATGCAATTCATCTACGATTTAACCATTTAAAATATGCCCTTAATCACAACTTGATTACCAATGATGAATATAATTTACACCACTTAGACATAACTGACCAGTATAATCCATCATATACGGATTATAAGCCATGTTCATTAATGAATTTTTGTAAAGTGTTAAAGACACATCATTTAATGGATAACATTAAAATGAATAAATCATTAATAACCAATAAACATTCTAAAGAATTAATTAGCCAGGTACAAAAATGTATAGTAAATGCATCTGAAAATAACAACCAGCAAACTGGAGTATTAGGTAATGTACATGAATATTATCTCACRAAAAAACAAAAAAGTAATGATGTAACTGAAATACCAAAAAAGTCTAAAAAAAAACGTAAAAGAAAGAAAAAATGTAATAATAATGATTTTAAAAGTATAGAGCACACCAGTACACCAACAACTTTGGTAACCGACAATTTTAATCATGAATGTGATGAGAAAATGAGAAATTCTATTATTAAACCGAAAAATACAGTAGAAATATTCATTCGTCAAATAAACAACAAAGACAAGAACCAGATTACCAAAAAAGAATCATTTGTTTCAAGTCAAAGATCTGTTAGAGATATGTTCAGTAAAATGTTAAAAAAAATTAAAAAGGAAAGAATACAACTGCAATGTTAATTTTRTAATAAATAATATTTTTTATCGTTTTTAAATTTAAGCACAGGATCAATGGATGGCCTCTTTACTCAAGCCCTGTCCAAACTGATGTAAATAATTGTAATTTAATTTAACTTATTGTTTGTTATTTTATCTTTTTTTTTATAATTCTTAAATCACTTGTCTTTATTGTAAATCATTATTTTACAGATTGTACAATTTTCTTGTTTAAAAAAAAAGCACAGAATCTAATAGAGCACATAAAAGTAATTATAATATTATATTTATGTTTTACAAGTCTATCATTGATTTATTATAATATCATTCATTATGAATATCATATTCTCATCAAGTATCAAGGACCAAGGTAGATTTMTAATTTATTAAAGACCTGTCCACCTTGATGAATTTGCTACTTGGTAGGTTAAGGCGTTTCATCTCAATTCACAACCCTTGGCATAATAGTTTTATCAATAATTTAAATATAACTACAGAATCTGTTATTCTGTGTAACTACCATAAACGTCATATATGATATAATAGACATGATAACTACAATATTCTTATCAAATGTCCAAGTTTCAAGTATGTTATCATTATAAATTATTATCAGTATCAAAAATTAAGATCTTAATTCTTAATTGTATTATTAACTCAAGTTACTTAATACTTATTGAGTTTATTTTAATAAAAGTTTTAAATAACAAAACGTTGAAACTTGAAAGGATTTTTTATGTAAAAATAGTTGTTAAATTGAGTTGTAGTCTGACAATTTAATAGATACATATTAATATTATTAAATATGAGTGATCCTATGAATAAAGAACTTGTAAAACGAGTACAATTATCTCTATCAAAATATATAAATAAACCACAACTAACTGAAAAACTACTAAATAAACCGCCATTCAAATTTCTTCACGATATTATAACGAATGTAAGTATTAATTAATTAAGTGTAACTAAAAACAAAATAATCAACATTGATGTCTTGATTCAATKATTATTATTTATGACTGTTATTTGAAACACAATTTGTGCTTCTTATTAGTTAGGAATTAATGAATATAATATGGTTTCTATTATTTAACCACTAATAATTTTAATGGCTTAATCATATTATTTAAATTGTTTATCTTTTTAGTAAATAGGTTCATTGTTTTTCGTGTAATTTTTTTGACTATAAGTTTAATTCTATGATTAACCCTTTCATGATAAATTTGTGACTAGGTTTTTATTTTATTTATTGATTTTACAATATTAATTTAAGTTTTGCTTGTTGCGATGATATTACATTATATAACTAAGTATTCTTTATTAACAAAACAATGCTCAGAAAGCGTGTCACAAGATATCATGTCAAGGAAATATATGTACAGTGTTGGGTAAATTACTTTTAAAAAGTAATAAAATTACTTTACTTGTTACTTAGAGAGAAATTTAATAAAGTTGCTTTATTTGTTACTCTAATAAAATTGTAATGAAATTACTTTACTTTTCAAATTGAAAAGTACCTCATTACTTTCTCGTTACAAAAAAAAATATTTTTAAATATATCTTAACAATATTATCATTGTCYCTGGCAATAATGTTACTAGAAATACATAACCTATAGTAAATAGATATAATTTGAAAAAGAAATCAATATAATATAATATTATTATTTTATATTTATTTATGTTTTAAATTAACTTTACACAATAGTGTATCTTCAAAATACGCGACCTTTTTTTAGAACAAATATCTCCTGAAACACTAAATAATAGCTAGTGGCGTGCAGACAAGACACAAATGAGCCCCACTTGAAAGTGGGGTGGGTGTGGTTTTTTTTTAYTTTTTTTATTCATAAATATTGTGTTTTCATATAACTATATAGAGGCCCTTGATTAAATATATATTATTTGTAACTTTTAGTTTTAGGTGGGTGGTGGGTGTAAAAAATTAGCTTTGCCCCACATGAAAAAAGGGATCTGCACGCTCTACAGAAGCACTGGATGGTAAAGCTGTGTTGTATTTAATAAAAATATTCTTTACTAATGTCATTGCATTCAAAATTGTGAGATCAGCTGTATAAGGAGCTTTAATAAATATACATATTATATTACTATACTAGATTGGTAAACATAATAATGTCTGCATTATAGAAATATTTTTTTTTTCAATTTGCAAAAGGTAGGTACTTAATAATTCAAAACTGTTGAGCATTATTCAATAGAAATTACTTGTCAAAAGTAATTTCCATTACATTTTCGTTACTTGGAAATAATTCTAACTAAATTACAAGCAAAGTAACGCTGTTACAGTAACGTGTTACTTTCGTTACGTTACTACCCAACACTGATAATGTAACACATATTGTTGAAAAATTTAAATGTGTTATAAAAATCTTAATCTTAAACTTTTCAGGTTATCCAAAGCACTGGTTATTTAACAGATGTTTTCACCGATGAAGAAATTATATCTACAAATGTTACCACAAAAGAAACTAAGATCAAATTTTTAGAAAAGCTTATTAGTGCCATTCGTAAGTTATATTAAAAAAATTAAATTAAATGTATTTTCTTTAAAATTGAGAATCAACTAATATTTATCATCAAAATGATATACCTATTGAATATTTTTAAAATTCTTCTGAGCCCCTCTCCTAGTGAGGAAAAAATATACTCTTTTCTTATTTTAAACTTTAACATACTAAATTTTCAAACAGCTAATAATTGTATAATATTTTATTTCCAGAATCAACAACGAATAAAACAATATCAGCAAGACCTTCTAAAATTGTTGCAGGGCTTGAAGTAACAAAGACTTTGGAGTTGCTTATGGCAATTGTTTTTGGAATAGAAACAAGAGTAAAATATGTTTTATTATTAATAAAAATGTCAGTGTAACGGTTTATTTTCTCTCTCTGGCCTACGCAAATTTATGTTTAGCAGAAATAACCCATTGCTAGTTCTCCTGCTATCAAACATAAAGTCGAACATATTAACTGTGTCTCTACATTGTCTTTCTTACAATTTTTATTATACTCATAACTTACATAAAAATAAAATATCATGAAATAGTCAACATCGCAACATTTTTAACTTCAAATTTGATAATAAATGAATTTACTTTAATACAAAAAGTAACAACATAAAGTTGATTCTACTGAAGGTAATTTGATATATTGGCGTATTGGCACGAGTTAGAGACAGAAAATAATAAGGGCGTTATTAACATCCTCATAATGACCATAGGCACAACTAGACAAATATTTTTTTGGTTTTATGCTATTATTGACATTGGAAATTGGATCATAAATCACTACCCATTGAATAAAACAGAAACTAGAATCTTAAATTGGCTATCTTCCAATATGCGCTCTACCACAATATGAGATTTATATCGTTCATTTGGACTTAAACATTATTACGGATATTTACCTCACTTAGTTAATATAGTGAATCAACAAATGCTCATACACAAAAGGATCAAGATTTTATACTTTGTACTTTGCCTTTGTAGTTAACAAATTTTAAGAATATATAGGTGGCATATATTATGCATAATTACTTCTGAAGTAATAAATGAAAACCGTGTGAATTTTAAGTGAATACCTATACCATTTTACTTTATTATTATTACAATCGATAGGTAGGTCGTAGACTTGTAGATAAGACCTAATTGAAACTTGACTGAAAAATATTAACAAACTTAATATATTTGATTGATTATGTAATTAGTAATTTAGTTTGATTTAATTAAAATATATTTTTAAAATTTAATTTTATATACATATTATACTTAATTTATTATAATTTTGAAGAACAAAATTAATATTTGAAATTATGTAATTTATTAATGTGTAATAATTYGTTTTAATTATACAATAATTTTGAGATACCTAAAGTCTATAAAGGGCATATCATAGTCACGATATTCGAGTAGAGCGCATATTGGAAGATAGCTCTTAAATGTTTGGTGGTACTTATCTTTTTTTAGCCCCGTCACTAGTTATGTCTACGATTAAAACTATGATAACTATTATTACTTTAATATACTTTTATTCCTACTTTAGAATAAAGAAGTTAAGGAACAAATTTCAACTAATACAAAAACTAAAAAATCAGAAACTACAAAAATTAATAATCAAAATAAGTCAAAATTGTTAGAAAAATCCAAATCAGTAGAAAAAAAATTAAAAGAAAATATTGATCATGATTCTCAAAAAAAAATACAAAAATCTGACAGTGTGGAATCGTCAGTGGTTAAAAACGATGAACCTGTAAGAGAGATGGATACATTAACAAAATCTGATGTAGAATTCAGTGTAAAACCAGTTATTGATGAAGAAATAAAGAACATTGTGGATAGTTCTGTTAAAACTGAGTAATTGAGAAACATTTTTTKTTATATTTACATAGTTGTTAAAATATTACTGTATCATTTAGAGAAATTAACGAAAACAAATTACAATCAACATTCAAATCCAAATTAGAAAAAAAAGATTCCGAATCAATAGAAAAAACTAACTCAGAAGAGAATCCACTTCGGAAATTAAGTGAAACTCATAATATTAGTAAACCATTAAGGCCAAAAAGTTCAAGACCGCCCGCACCTAATCGTCGTCCTCAATCAAATACATTTACAGAGTAAATTATAAAATTGTAATTACTTAAATATATTTTATTTTATGAAATTTAATTTTTAACTTTTTAGGATTCCTAAACATTCAGACAGTTTTTTTTCAAAAAACGATGACAAAATAAATGACATTGATGAYAATATTGTTACAGTAGAAGTATTAAATGACAATAAGTCAACTTATGATTCTTATATCCAGGTAATACWACTTTTTTATCATTGTTGTGGTAATTTGTTTTTTAATAAAAATGAATTTATGTTATTTTTAGGAAGATGGACAAGGTCATCTTGTATCACAAATACTTCAAACACAAATGGAATTTAATACTAAAATAAAGACAGACTCTTCAAAAACAGTATGTAAAAATATTGAAATTATATTAGTTCTTGCACTTTGGGCAGAAATTAATTGGCAATGCTTGAGAAGATTATACCCCCTTAAAACGTTCAAATAAAGAAATAAGCCCCCATTAATATACTTACTGGCCACTGCTATGTATAATAAATATATAGTAACTTTCAAATGAAATATAATTGGAGCATGAAAAAAAGTACAATAATGCAATTAAAAATCTGTTAAAATTTAAAACAATCATCTACTTATCTTTCTTAACTTTAGAGTTAAGAGTCACAAATGTTAATTTAATACACATCTATATTACACATTTGTATACATATGATAGAAAATGATAGAAGTTGTTTGAGATAAATTTCAGCTATATTTTTCTTAGTATTTATAGTTAGGAGCACAAAAAGTTAGTGTTAGTTCCCACAATCTGTTGTTTATACTCAGTTATACCCATAAGTTCTCAACATTATACTGTCATGCTGCCATTACATATTGTATTCATAAACACAATTAATTTGATAACTACTGCTTAGGAGTGATCATTTTTCGTGCATGTGAACAACTAATTTTTCTGCTAAGCCAAATTTTTGTGTTGCATCAGCAACAAAATCCTGTGCATTCTTGCTTATGTATGCAATAAAGTTGTTTTATTTTAGGAATGGGAAGGAAAAAGTGTTAAAGATCAAGAAATGTTAATAAAAGAAATGGATACAATCAGGCAATTCATTCAAGCCATAACAAAGTCGGCAAACCCATTAAGTAAACTTATCAACAATATGCAAGAAAATATCGATCAGATGAATCGAGAGTTGAACTACTGGAAAAATTTTACTGAAAAAACAAATGAAAAACTTGATTCACAACAACGGTAAACTATAAATTGTAAACTTTAAAATGTATTTTATTATTAACTAATTGGATATAATTTTAACAGGGTAGTTAAAGAAAAAACTAAACCAATGGTTATGTTATTGGAAAAACTGAATACTGAAATCAAAGACGAATTGGAAATGATGGATTACTGTAAATCAAATATTATGAAAAACAAATCTCATATTAACTACTTAGTTTCAGAAAGGTTTATGTTAAAAAAATAATTGAAAGTCCATTGTTTTTTGGAAACTAGGAAATATTTAGTTTATAATTGTATTGTTATTTATTATATACCTAGGAAATGTACTACTTAGTAAGTCACCAAAATAATTTGATCTCACATTAAAAAATACAAGATTTCTAAAAAAGAAAAATGTTATGCGTACCAAATCAGAAGTATTTTTACAGACTTGTGTCAAGATCTGATTTTTATCACTGGGATATTGCTCATGTGTGCTGTCCTCTTGAAGTTCAATTTTACATTGTTATGTATCACACTACTAGTAGTGACTCGTAGTGCACTTTGATTTTTTTCTTTAAAAATCTTGAAAAATATTTTCTTACACTATTTCAATCAAACTCAAAAGAGACTGAATTATATTTTTTTCTAGTCACTGTAACTAGTCAATTGCTCCTAAGTTAAATATTTAAATTTGCTTTTCATATAATATATAATAATTACTATTTTATACTGGCAGTTTAGTTCTAACATACTGGCAATTAAAGAAATAGGTTTATCTGAATGTGCTGAGTAGAATAGAATAATATGTACAAATATACAACATATAGTTATTAATTTACATTTTATTTGTGTAAACAAGTACTTAGTAATATTCAACTTAAACTAAGATCTGATGAAACAATATTTTCATATGGACAATGCCCGATTGTGTGGTTTGTTGATACCTTAGGACAAACCAATTTCTTTTATTGTCCGCATTAGGCTAAACCTAAAAGAAAATATAAATTTTACATACTAAAATTTGGCTACCAAAAATTGCATAAATACTCAAAACACATTTTAGATATGTATATTATTATTAAACCTAATAAAAATATTTGACAAGGTATTGTTAGACCTCTTTTGTTTTTAAAATTATTTTTTTAAATATTGATAATTAAATAATATTAATTATTAAATTTCATTAAACATTTAAATCTACTCAAAAGTTACACTACTTACTACTTCAGGTTATAATTATAATATACTAAAGACTAATTAAAAAATTAACTATATTTAGTGTTTTTTTTTTTTTTTATGTTTAGTTTGAAATGTTCAATAACATCAAACCTTGTTTATGTTTTTAAAAATGGATTGAATATCTTAATTTTTTGAAAATAATAAATAATAATATAGATACTCAGTGGCGTATTTTCAATTTCTATATGGGCGAGAGATTCTAAAAAATAAATAGATTTATAATATTATAAAAAAATACATAATTATTATGTACGAGTTATGATTTAATAATTATATTATTTATATTAGCTGTCCTGACACTGCGTTGTTGGTGTATTAGTTTCTTTTTTTGGCATTTTCGTAGGCCGTGTGTTAGTATTTAATTACTTAAATAGTATTTTATTGTTATTTGTTAGTGCTAATATTAAATGGCATTCACAATTTATTTTTATTTATGTTTATCAATTGTTAAACCACTATTAGATTCATTGATAACATATATTTATAGACTATGAATATTATTATTATTAAAGCACCTCCTTATAGACTACATTCAATTTGGTTGTTCTTCCGTTTGGAGCAAAAATAAATAAGCTGCCTAACCTAACCTAACCCTAGGTGAACTAACTCTGGAGTATGCCACATAGAATTGCCCATGTTTGATAATAAAAGTGGTATACGCGGTATAAACTTTAATTCTCTTTGAGCGCAACCAGTAGGTAATTATTGTTCCCTCAATTACCTCAAAGTGCTCTCACGCAAACTATAGTACCATTGTAGAGTTGGAGTTGGCGAAGATTTCGCAACTGCATAATTGGAGTTCCTATACTTTAATGAATATCTTATGTGCTGGAAAACCAGGAGGATTAAATGTGCTGAGAACTCCACATGATAGTGAACGGTGACGTCTGTCTTCAGTACCACATCTATAGGCTTATACTCCATTTCTGTTCCCTTTAATGATTTAAGAATTTCATTAATCATAGCTTCCCCRTCGTTTTCGGAGGTCAATATAGCGCGCTCACATAATTAATCCATCGATTTGTTTTTTATATCGGCAATGTCAGGATAAAAGGCGAATTGGTCATACATGGGTACGAGGACATGGGCATCTTGAGTTCGGTCAATAATAACACATTAACTCACGCAAAAGGKGAAAATTGATTTTACAGGGAAATGAGATGCGAAATGCGAATTTCGGGAACTAATATTGATTATACCTACCTTTAAATTGGCTTGATTTTTTCCCTTATTTTATGTCTTTATTTCTTKATTTATCWACATTGTTTGTTTTTCGCTTCTTTTTTGTCCCTTCATCAAAATCTGATTCTCCTAACTTTCTCTTGTTAGTCTTAACCCTGTCGTCAAATCCTGAAAAATATAAAAGACAAATTAACAATGTTTTCTAAAAACACCAAATTATTTCCAGTTCGTATAAACTATAAGTATTAGCCTTTAGATATCATATAAGTATAAAATTCATTGCCACTTATTTACCTTTTTTCAATACTTTTTTTTAAATTTATTATAATTTATATTTTATAATATCAAATTAACGAAAGGTTGATAAATATATATTATGGTCAAAAAAATTAAATCTAKTTACGCTTAATTATAACTTTTGGTTTTTATTTTTTAAATTTAAACAGTTAAATTATTATTGTATATTTGTATCTACTTCCTTTAAACAGAAGCTTTTGGTGTAAGTAGAATAAAATAGTATTACAAAATGTATTAATATTACGTTAAAAATAGGTAGGCAAGTGTAATTATTTAATGAGCAAAAAATATATGAAAAAAAGAACTGCCAACAATTACCTAGATAAATGTAATTAAAAAATAAAAGGTTAACTGAATTAACAAATCTCAATTATTTTATGTAAATTTTACAGAAATATAATTACGATTAATGAATAGATAATAATTGATTATAATTTATAATGATGTTGTGGGTGGGCTGGCAGGTAAATTTTTATCAGTTATTTCTCCCAAAAAAAAATTGATTTGCTTATTTTTTAAATATTATATAGGTACGTACAAATGTACAATCATACAGTTCTATCAAAAAATAAAAATAAATAATAACAAGAATATAAAAGTATTAATTAATAAAATATCCTTAGTAATAGATGCTGGCAGAATGTCCCCACTCAAAATATTTTTTTATGTTATCCATATTACATGGGTAGGTATATCCTATGTACCTACRTGATTTATCATTGAGTTCAATTTTAACATATTTATTACTGTACATTGTCGCAACTCAAAATGACCTACTCAATGATGACTTATGAGGTACATACCTATTACCTATATAACCTACACTCGAATGTCGAAATATAGGCGGGGATTTCATTGAATATTATAGGGGGGAGGCATAACCAACTATGAAACCTATTAAACAGCAAATCAATTTAAGACTTCACCAGTTTATTTAATATTGTTATCAGATTTAATTAATCATTGTTATTTCTATACCAGAACTTGTCGACTTGCTATGTTGGGCTCTTGACTCCAAATCAACCGTATCGTTAATTTGTCTTACATTGCAGGGTTCTAGATGCGATAAACTCTAAAAATGAAAAGTAAATACTTAATTTTTATTGGAAACCATGGAGGTACCTAAACACTTTTAGTTTATAATTATGTTTTGGTCACATATCGCATTTTTTTTTTATTTTACATAATATATAATACAACACATCAAGCTAAATATTAGGTAGGTACCGATTYTTATACAATAAATAATGTTACTATATAATATTTACTACTATTGTATCATCGTTAACGGTTTATAAATGTACCTCTAAACTTTAAACTCTAAATGCCCGATCAGAGTATAATATAGGA